CCCCAAAACCCCAAAACCCCAAAACCCCAAAACCCCTTCAATAAATTACCTTACTGAAAGGTATAAATGTGGTGAACAAGATTTACAATTAAATTCAAATGGAAAAAGTATCAATCTTACCTCAACCTGAACTAAAGTCCTCAGAAACCATCAAGGTATGTTTTCAAATGGTTCTCTTCTTTAACCTCTTATACAGCCTGAGACTCCTTCCCACCCTTCACCGCTTACCCATTCCCAAGCCTGAACGTACTGCTCCCAACCTCATACAGAAGAACAAGCCAACAGCTGTACACTCACTTTAGAACCCTGCCTCCACAACCTGTGCGAAGACTGCCTTCTAAAAATATTCAAAGAAGGACTTGTAGAAGACATCGAGTGCCCACAGTGCCTAAAATGGGAAAATCTCTACCAAAATGAAGAAATTTTGGAAATGGAGGATTTTCAAAGGATTAGACAGGTAGTTCAGAAGAGGAGAGAGAGTCTCAAATGCCCTTGTGGAGAAAAGGGTAAGAGAGTTGATGGTGAAGGAGAGAAGGGGGTATTTAAGGATGTTGGAGGAATGTCTGAGAAGATACTCGTTATGTGTGAGACTTGTGACACTACTTTTTGAGGAGAGTGCAAAGTAGCTCCTTATCATGCTGGTAAAACTTGTGAAGAGCATAAGATAGAGAGTCAGGTGTTCAAATGAAGGTTTTGAAGTGATCCCATCAAAGAAGACTTTAAAGAAGGTTTAGAAACTAACTTTTGTTCGAAGATAAACTGAATCCAAAAAAGCAAAGTTACTTGCCAAAAATTCCACAAATGAGGGCATCCTTGTCTTGGATTCGCAGATGAAGAGGAATGTCTCGCTTGCTTGCATCCAGAATGTGTATCCAAAAGTCCTAGCTCAACTTTCGGAACCGATCAAAAGAGCTCATGAGGAATCTGTCTTTCCCCACTCGAAGATGAGCCATGTGTTCAACTCAGCTGCAAGCATATTTTTCACGAAGAATGCATTAAAGGTCGAATTCAGAGTAGATGGACTGGTCTCAGAATCAGCTTCAATTTTAAAGGATGCCCAACTTGTAATGAAGAAATCTGTCATGCTAGCAATGATGAGATTATTGCTTTAATGAAGGAGAAAAATGATTTTGAGAAAGAAATAATCCAAAAATCTATTGTAAAGGCAAAATCTGATGGTTATGATAAAGACCCAGAGCTACTAAATTCGAATTCCCCCTTTTATAAAAACCTTGAGGCTCTTTGTATGGATAAATTTTGTTATTATGAGTGCTATGACTGTAAGACTCCCTACTTTGGTGGGCTCTATGAATGTGCGCAGATGCTTGGAGTTAATCAGGAAGATCTTCTGTGCTATAAATGATCCGCAAAAACATTAGATGGAAAGACAGAATGCCCAACTCATGGATCTGCCTACATTGAATTTAAATGCAAGTTTTGTTGCAACCTATCTGTTTACAAATGCTCTTCTGGATACTACTGTGAACCGTGCCATGCAAGTTCAAAGAACAGGATCATCGGGAGATGTGTAGGACCAGAAAAATGTCTTCTCAAAGTCCCTCATAAAGACAATGGTACCTCTCTAGCTCTTGGATGTGGCATTTGTAGAAACAGAGTCGGTTGCGAAATATAGAATTTACCAAAAATGAGAACTATAAAATTAGCCTAGCTAATTTAGACAGGTTTCAACCAATTCATATGTATTTGGGGTTTTGGGGTTTTGGGGTTTTGGGGTTTTGGGGTTTTGGGGTTTTGGGG